ATATATATATATATATATATATATATATATATATATATATATATATATATATATATATATATATATATATATATATATATATATATATATATATATATATATATATATATATATATATACTATATGTACATACATACATATATACTGTATGTACATACTTACATACATACATACATACATACATACACGTACGTACGTACGTACATGTATGTACATATGGCATGTACGAACACCTTTACGGCTCAATATACATCGTCGGCAGGATAGTTTTAACGACAAGGATAAAATTGATTTATCGCTTATCTATTGATATGCTTTTAACCCCACTGGAAGAATGGCCGTGCACGCACAGAGATGGACAGAGTGGCCCTCTGGATTCACCTTTAATAGAATGTAAATTTCCTGGAAGCTCATACATTTCACAGATACTTCAATTCAGAAGGACATGTGATGCTGTAGTAGAACTTGGGTTATGTGGTGTGTGTTGAAGTACACATAAACCACCACCTCATTATGCTTCCGTTTTTATACGTATTTGTTACCGTATGAATTAGCACTTCGAACGCTTGCTCACCAACAACCCTGCAATAACATTTGATACCACAGCAAGATTTGCATGAGGCGAAAATGGCAGATGAGAGAGTCAAACGGAGTCAATTGAAGCTCAAGATTCAGGTAAAGTCGACTTGAATGTGAGTGGGCAGTGAGGAAAGGAGAAATCCCTAACCTAACAAACCTGAATTGCGAATACGACGCAATGTTTCGGAACGGTTTGTACGTGCATATTTGATTACCATACATACACCCACAATCATGTAATCAGTAAAATAGAGCGCTATCCATGCACTTGTGTATCAGTGTACGGTTTGAGCATCAGCACTGTCACACTGAGCAGACCCGATGGTGTGTACGCAGTTAGACCAGGATGGGTTTTCACCTCGCCGGATAGCCAATATAACGTATTCAATATACGTCTCTTCCTTGAAATCAATCAACCTTCGAAACATTCAGACAAATGATTTCGCGCCATACATAGCTTATCGGTGCTCATGTGGGGTTGTCTGTCAACTTAGCCTCGATCTTCAGTGTTCGAACTGCCACATTGCCCCATGCTTGTCCGTATACTGCACCTGCTGACTATAAACCCCATATTTTTGCTTCGTTGCATTTCACCTGCACATCAGAACGCTACACACCGGCACAAACAGTTGTCATCAGGCCTCGATGTCGCAGAGCCACCCCCGCGTACCCACCAGTCGGCGGAGGACGCCATTCTACAATTGGGACTCATTGGTGAGCAAGGCGAGCTGCCTAAAAATAGAACGGATCTGATTGGTTCGGATCAGAAAGGTGCTCTGAGTGCTAGTAGTAGTGTGCCGCGATTTAGTGATAGTCCGAATAGTCGGCAGCACAGGGCAAAAACAGTATCGGGGCATCTAGCGTCTGGTAAGCCAGGATCAAGGCCTACTCATTTGTAATGTGTATCCTTGTATCATCGGCTATCTCATAGCCGTCTAATTTAGAAGGCTATGCTAATCTGGGCATGTAAAACTTGATAGACATACCATCGGATTTCTCGAGGATGTGACTAAATCATATGTTGACATACCTTACTCGGGTGCAAGAGTATACATATTGACTTTGCAAGCGAGGCTTTGTCGGCAATTCATATTTTGTGACTTATTTTTACTGTGCGAGACTGAAACGTTAATATTGTATTTAACACGATATGCCCAATGTAAGGCTCGACCTTGGTTACTATAGCTTTTTCAGGTTTCATACTTTTATACATGAATGGGCGAATTTATAGATTTTGTAATTTTACAAGACATGATAGTCGCGCATATATACCTTTTTAAGTGTTTTTTGCGCATACTCAAGTCGGCAAACTAGGTAGTGCAATATTCATCCGATCGAGATAATGAATCTGATCAGCTCGCACATGCACAAGAATAGACACAAGCTACCCCATATTCCAATACCAAGAGTTCAGCTCAAACCTCCTTGAAAGTACCCAGCAGCGATGTCACTCTGAGTTGATGAATTCGCCACTGCGACCAGCACACCAGTACGTGTTACTAGGGGACATTATATATGCAACCGAGGTTTGGTTCTTCCTTATTATATCGTACTGATCATGCAGTACATATCGTCTGACAGCGGGCGGTATTGTCGTATGTACGGAATGTCGAACGCCTTTTTTGGATTGTAAATACGTGTTCACTTGGATATAAGCATCCAAAATGAAAGGAAACACCAACCTGTTATCACACATGTCGTGTGTACTCGATCTTAATTATGAATGAGCCGTCGCCCAATACCACGAAGAATACTTTTCAAGATATTGTAGCACAAGAACTAGTAGATAATCCAGAAATGAGGTTTGTACCGTGCGATCGGGATTCATGTACAGCTGGCTTAAACAACAATCGCATGTACACTGATAGTACAGTCGATGTGCGATTATTCAACCTCCACAACACGACTTGATATCAGAGTCATGTTGCCCATCTTCTCGTGCATGTACGGCCGTCAGAGCATCCTCGACTAAGCAATATACGGCATTGGGACAACCAACAAATACTGTGCCACATGGCCCCTTGCATTCCACTATTAGACATACATACACTGCCTGCTTTTGAGACAAAACATCTCAGTAGTAGACAGATTTGAAGACTCTGAGAGTCCTCGCAGAGAAATTGAATTTTCATCATCCACATACAGATAGAAGCCGTGTGTTATAAGATTCCCGGTAATTAGAGCGCTCAATTGAGGCAGCGAGAAAGGAAATAAAGTAGTATTAGCGATCGACTAAAATAGCTATCTCAGAGCATGTGAAACAAACGAATCAAGTGGTACCTTCTAAGAAAATCGTAGTGTATAAATATATGAAAGACATCCTTGTGCACGGTTCACAGACGACTGTTGAAAGTAATGTAAATTTCGGAGTGAGGCACACAATTGCACATCAGTTTGGACAGTATTCGCCTATTGTGCTGGTTGAATATAGAACAGGGCCCAATACTTAGAAGGCACGATCCGATACCTTGACGCCCAAGTATAACCTTGTTGTTGTAGCCATTAAATCTTTGTACTCTTGTTAGTGTGGTATATACCGCACTTGACACCAACGCATTCGCTCAAGTGTATCATTTTATCACTTTAAAAGTTTCTTTTATTGATTGGTATGCAATATACAAAGAAAGTGCTATTGAATTCTGAATTGTAGCCTGTACCTGCTTTTAAAAAACAGCATATATATTACTTGAAAAGCAGGTGTTTCACGGCATCTCAATGAGAGGGTAATATTTTAGTCACAGAATCTCTACAAACGCACATCTCTACAAACACACAAAAATGATCAAAAATGCTAAACATGGTAACGTGCATACTCGTGAAATGCTGTGTATAGAGTGCCGTAAGGTGTACAGCTAAAATGTGCCACCCAATCTGATAATCAACGACATGAGTTTCGCGGTCAAAAGGGCTTAATCGTGAAATATTACTAAGGTCTACATGTTTGGTCTTTTTGATTTTTCGAACGCGCTTTCTGTTTGGAATTTGCATGTTTGTTTGTGAACACTTCAAGTACGTTGCTGATTATTTCAATCTTATTTAGATATTTAAACGAGCGCTTTGAGAAATGCTTGGCAAAAGCCTGGCTTCAGGCTTAAGACCCGCCAGCTGTGCCGGACTATTCCAGTATTGCGATGGGATCGCCGAATCCGCTTTGAAACCGTTTGATGGATAACGACGTGTGACATGCAGGTGTAATGTTTGGTAAGTTCTTAATGTAATATCGGGACTGACACTATCGAGACAATCGTCCAAGTGACGCAGTGCGGCTATTAAAAGGTTGACTTCATCTTGCAGTATTTGTCTCGAATACAACACTTCGCTCGTGTAAAGGAATCCCAGCGGCTATCAAAAAGTTGACTTCATCTTGCAGTATTTGTCTCGAATACAACACTCTGCTCGTGTAAAGGAATCCCATTTCTTTTGTCTGCCATCTGTATGAATCTGGTAGTTATTTGATATCGGTTCGTAACAATCGGCTTGTCTATCATTCTCTGTACCATCCACGGTGTAGACACTAGCGACTATCAATTGCGAACTTAACAAAGGATTGCAAGTATATTGATACTGTGCATTTGCACATACTGAGCTCTCGGCGAGAAATCATTCGATAGATGCATCACTTGCTTTCAATTGATATAATTGATTGTTCTTCTTGATCGGTATCAACTGGTCGACTGCAGTAGGATCACATAATCGGTTGATAAACTCTGCATGCTGTGTAGTGGGTGATACTCGTTCAATCGCATATTGCTTAGTCATCATAGTTCATTAAACTCATTGAACAGTGACAACAAAGTGTTGTGACGTGAAGACCAGCACACCTCTATTATTGTATGCAGACGACAGAGTTTTTCTGCCGATTATGTGAATCTGCTGCTGTCCAGCGTCCACAGTCGACCGTTTGATGCTCATCAGGATCCCGGATGGCATCCGAATGTGTTGGATATTTTGCTGACCTGGTATACGACGACACATCTTCTTAGCAAACTAGTTTCCGACCCGTCGCGGTATGCCTTCTTAGGAGAATAACATGACGTAAATCGGACTTGTGACTGTAATACGAGACATGACGATATATGTTGAATAGACTTGTAGGCTCGAAATTGAGTAGATACACGATTTGATTGGCGGTAGGATTCTCAAGGGAATCCTTCGGAGATAGTATAAATACGTGGTTTAGTTCATTCAAGAAGTTCATTCTGCTAAGGTAGACGTTTATTCAACTATCAAGGAAATAAAACTAGGTTCACCGTTACATTGTGTTATGAGTCGATCAAGATTACAAATAAACGTTAGTGGAAAATGGTTTACGAGAAGGATAATGCAGCTGGGACTTGGCAACCTCCCTGGAGATATGTGAGAAGGGAACCGATGACGACACTTATGGATCGATGGGATTACGTCAGGGGTACCAAGGCTTATGAGCTCGAGGCGAAGAAAGGAGGGTCCCGCCCAGCGATGGCTCTTTTGAAGGAGATTACACCGGAGACGAAGTCGGAACTAGAGGGCTATATTAGCAAGACTGTTATTGAGACGAAGGATCTGTACATCGCGGCTGCAGCATTGTATCCAGCGTTTAAGGACCCATTTGAAGTGAGTGGAAACCGGGCGGAGAAGGCAATAGGAGGGTGGGGATCCAAGCCTGATAAGGTTATTGAGCATCTTCGGGAGATTTTTTTTCCAAACTACCAACATAAACAGGCTACGGTTTCGAAGTTACTCCGGTAACCACAGTGTCCTATTCCAATTCTCTATCATGTAAATAGTAGAGTATTTTGAAGTTCACTCTAGACTCCTGGTAGACTACAGTGAATACTGAATAGTGAATACTAAGGCAATATAGGCCATTAGGCATCCTTTAAAAATCATCAAAAAAGTACTGGACAACGGATAGTGAATGGAATGCTGCCGATCAGAGTCTGGAGTCTGGACCCACTGAGAGTATGAGGTCAGTGACTCAGTGGGTCACTTTTGAAGTTGTGGTCTGTGGTCCACAACTGGGTTTTCAACTTTTAATTGCTTTCAACTTCAACATTGTCTTTCCGGCCTTCCCCTCTCTCTCTGTAGTTTCTGCTCTTGTATTCTCTCTCTAGAGTCTCTACTAGTACTCTCTCTCTAGTCTCTACTAGAGTAAATACTCTCTCTACTAGTCTCTAGTGTACTCTCTAGTCTCTCTTTCTCTACATGTCTACTAGACTTTCTCTAGACTCTTACTCTCTCTAGCTAGAAGTCTAAACTCTCTACTCTAGAGAGAGAGAGAGAGCCTCTAGAAATAATAGGCCTTTCTTAACAAAATTATATTTTGAATGAGTATTTTGAATGAGTATCCAGATTTCAGTATACCCCCCCAGTCACATACTCACTTTATATTGCCAGAGGCCAGAATCTACACTTCCATAGTTCCGCAGACCACAATATTTATCCAGTATACACAAAAAGACAAGAACTGACTATTTGTCAATGCGTGGGCTGGTACAGCCGCCCGGGCACACACAAAAAGAAAAAACAACCCCGAAAGTTAAAACTTGTGCGCAATAGGCACAGAGCCACAGGCCAACCCTCAGAAACTGGGTGACCAGTGACTCGTGAGGCAGTGACCAGTGTGACCAGTGACTACTCTAGTAGAGCGCAAGCTGTTGACGCCTTGACGAGTTGACGTCTGTCTCTATGAACTTATGATAATGTGCACATTTTCAATTTTCAATTTAGTGCATACTAAACTTCTGAATGTAGGTGTGCGGCATGTTGTAGTCATTTTTAGCAAATACGATTATACAAACATGTGGTGAAAACTGCTGTGATGAATGAGCGCAGTCACACAAAAATACGAGTACAGTTGCACAACAAGTATACACCCATAAGCCACATTGAGGGCACCATGTATAAATAGCATTTACGGCACTTCAGGCATGCTTTCCACGGCTCTGACCATCATCTGATGTCTTTTCGTACCCCATCACAAGAGAATGAAGGTAGTCTTAGCACTCCTGGTGTAGAACCTACTTTCAACCAAAGCACTGGATTCTGCACCTCGGCCAAATTGAACTGTGGATGTGCGCTTGTGGTTTCACGCCAGTGTATAGATATGTCGAGCATGTGCAGTTTGGGATCAATTCGTGGTTGGTTCACAAAAGCGATAGTACCATATTCCTTTGCATACATATTCATCCACTGATGCGAGACTCTCGAAACGAGATACCAATGTTATGCAATATGTGGTAGAAGTCAACTAGGTTATTTTACCGTTTGCAACTGAAGCCAGGTCGATACAGATCTTCAAATCGGTTCCTCCTATAAGAGTATAAATGTAATTGTATTTATAAATTAACTACTACCTTGCGAATCCGATACGATGAGTGCGTGTAGTGTGCACAAGTGGCAGAACATGAGGTTTTAAAAAAGGTTATAAAATCTCACTCGTACCGTGCTGAAACAAGCCAAGGATATGAGGGATTATGAACATGAATAAGGAAAAGTACGCTTATACCGGCATCGGAACCATACTAATACACACACAACCTCCCCGACGGTCCAAATAAATCCCCCCAACCACGCAGGCACCGCGCACGTATGCGTATACGCCGGCACATATGGATTATCCACAAATCTACGCGCAGAGCAAACATACGGAGGCGAGTGCACAAACACCAGGTCGAACCACAATCATACAATCTACAACCACCCCAACCACGACCTATGCTCGTATCCACACCATGTATAGTACATATAAAAAATTGTTTACGGCCGTGATCACATGCATTCACCCAACATGGACAAACATGCAGGAATCGCTCAATTGAATACTTTTGGTGGTTTAGGTAGGCGCATGAATGTTAAGTATGGAGTCATCCTGCAAGCTCCTATCAACGCATTGCTGGACGAATCTGGTAGTATGGTTCAACCTTAGGAATGACAGAAAGCGCGTGCGTACAGTTCAATACTTCGCGCCAGTGTGCTTATACATCCGATACAGACCGTAGAGTATTCAATAAAAAAATCCTTTTTTTTTGACAGCACAGGTATGCAAACACGATATTGTGCTCACTCTATGACCTTAAATTGCCACACCACTGCAAGTACAAAGTAATAAACTTGCACCTACGTACCTACAACTAATATATATATCCATAGAGCACCTCTCACACCACTTACATAAGTCGCCAAAGTCAAATGTACTTTAGGGTTTACTTAACCCTATGCCCCTAAAACACTACGCTACATGAACACTAAAATCGACACGTTTATGCCTATGTGAAGGCGCTCATACCTCATTTGAGTAGAAATATTTATCAATCAGGAAACTAGAAATTCTTTGAAGCTCCTCATTGTCATGGTATTCAAACATTTCCAAACATTCCACCCCACCCTCTTCTTCAACTTTCCAGGACACCTAATATATGTTTGTTTTGAAGTGGCATCACGCGTGAATATAATTGAGGGTGATTCAGGACAATTCAGATTGATAGTCGAGACTTGTTCTCCGCAAGTGCTATTTCACAATAGATAGCGTCCCTTCAAAAATCAGAACAAAGAAAAATCGAGCCGAGCGACCACTAAACCCCCGTCGATGGACAAGTCCTATCCATCCCTTGTATACACCGCCTTATTTGTACCTCTACATCACCGCACATATACTATTCCAATAGCGCAGGACCTTGCATTTACACAAGACTGCCTCAGCAATCTATCGAGCTCCACCTCACACTCAGACCTACCTGTGCATGACTTTGTAGCATCATCTCCAAAAACTGCAGCACAAGCTTGCACGATTGCCCCTCGCCTGCACGCAGTACCTTGAGTGACTGCCTATATAGATGAGTGAATGGTGAAGGTATACATGAGTGACTGGCTATATAGATGAGTGAATAGTGGAGATATATATGAGTGGCTGTCTATATTGATGAGTGAATGTAGAGATAGGTATACATGAGTGACTGTCTACAACGATGAGTGAATGGTGAAGGTATACATGAGTGACTAGCAATATAGATGAGTGAATAGTGGAGATATATATGAGTGACTGTCTATATTGATGAGTGAATGGTGGAGATAGATATACATGAGCGACTGTCGACAACGATGAGTGAACGGTGAAGGTATACATGAGTGACTGGCTATATACATGAGTGAATAGTGGAGATATATATGAGTGACTGTCTATATTGATGAGTGAATGATGGAGATAGATATACATGAGCGACTGTCTACAACGATGAGTGAATGGTGAAGGTATACATGAGTGACTGGCTATATAAATGAGTGAATAGTGAAGATATATATGAGTGACTTTCTATATTGATGAGTGAATGGTAGAGATAGGTATACATGAGTGACTGTCTACAACGATGAGTGAATGGTGAAGGTATACATGAGTGACTGGCTATATACATGAGTGAATAGTGGATATATATATGAGTGACTGTCTATATTGATGAGTGAATGGTGGAGATGTATATGAGTGACTGTCTTTTATGATGAGTGAAAGGAGCAGATATACATGAGTGACTGACTAAATTGACGCATCAAATGCACTATAATACCATTAACCATCACATGCACTATAATATTATTGACCATCACATGCATTGAATGGTACCTCTCTGGTTTACTCAAGCATGTAATTGTATGCACAGAACCAACGAAGAAATGGCCAATAACCTTCAACCTACCTAAGCACATCCGTCTTGTGGTAGATGAACCGGCACATAGCTTCTCCGTGGTGTGCGGTGTTATTGATCACATACATGGCCTGAGTGACCATCTCTGGGTCTTGCAGTGCATCGTATTCAATTATTCTCACTATATACGGGAACAAGCCCTCGTCCACCACGGCTGCAGGCAAGTCCAAGCACAATACGAACGACAGGAAAGGTTGCATGAGTCAGCCTTGACTCGGTATACACGTAGTATACAGATATATATGTAGATAAATACAGGTACATTCATATATATATGTAGATAAATACTGGTACATGTATGTATAATATATATATATATATAATATATGTCTATATATATGTATAAATATATATCTATATTCATCTATCTATCTATATTGCAATTATATCCATCTATATCCATCTATCTATATATATATATATATATATATATATATCTATCTATATATATATATATATATATATATATATCAACGACTGTACAATAATAACACTCTGGGATTCTATCATGAGAAGCATTTACAATCGGAAACGGTTTCGGAGTAGAAGTACTCAAATCCATACTGAATGTTGAGAATTTAATGAACTAGATTACGGAAAGTGTACAGTTTACAGTCATGCTAGAGAGAATTCAGTGCAGGAAAGAAACAAATACTCGGTACATCCCCTTATCATGCTCAAATGATGGAATTCAGGCTTCAGATTGTGCAATGTTTTACCACTCATAGTTGTTTGGCAATAGTAGTTCAAACTCACACTCAACAAACTTGAGATTCGCCTGCGACAATATTGGACACTGGTCAACTAGATTATGTCGGAAATAGAAGAAGCAATGTCATATACTCAACAAACCATGGACACGATTTAGTATACATGAACCTCACCCGTTGCGAATTCTGGTTTTCCAGCCACGATGTTGGACAGAGCCCACAGCGCCTCTAGGCGCAGAGATCGTTCGGGAGAGGTTACGCACTGACCCAATCCGTTGAAGAGATTTGCCTGCTGCAACGCCAGTTCTGTGAAGGCGTCCTCACCAGCGAGGATATTACCTACCACAGGATTGAAGGGGAATATAATCAATGTACTGTAGGTAGCAGTGATGTGTGAGGTGGTGGGTGAAGAACAATGTGCACATATAGTACCGCAATAGGCGAATACATGCAAGAGATCCGTCTACTGAAATGCTAGTATTGTAAGGTGTAGAAAAATGTAACGTCTTGTACCATGAATAGCAGAGTGCATTAAGAATATGATTTAAAAAACAAGTACACATAAAAAACTCATTGCGCAGATCACTGAAAATGATTCGTCTGTTGCAATGCCAGTTCTGCGAAGCCGTCCCCGTCAGCGAATATCTTATGTACCGTACCAGGAGAAGCGCGATGTCAAAAAACCCCCCCCGATGTTTTGGAGATTGACGCGTCTTTGCGAGTGTCCACCATTCAGCTACTACCACTCGCCCAACCTTGAGTATGCAAGGTGCTGGGGAATCTGTACTAGCCATGGCAGGAGTGTGTCCTATCGACATAGAGATGTGTAGAAGCTCACCTACTGCCACAACTTACCCAGAGTGCGTAACGCGGGGGATACCATCGGTGTGGCAATCTCTGTGGTAGCTTGCATTGCGGATGTGAGAAGGCTCATCAGACCGTCTTTACAAAGTCGCTCACATAGACTCTCATTGTTGGCGGTCATGTAGGTAAGAAACCATAGGGCTTCGCTGGCAATCCCCACACTGGCACGCGTCGTTATAGTCTCGGGCGACAATAACATTGGCCGGGCTGTGGCAGAGATGTGATAAGCGGAACAGATAGTGAACCAAAGGGAGATCTCGCACTATATGCATAACGATCTTAAGACTGTGTATTGGATATATACATCCATAGGAAGGTCTTTGGTGGTGGAGTGATAGGTTGCAATCGCGAGCAGGAGCATAGTGTGAAGAAAAGCCAGGTTTTATGCTTATTCACAGCGATGTCGAATACTATTCATGTGCGTACGTATATTTATACATGAATATGTGTATGCGCTTGAAATATCATTAAATGCAAGCACTAAACTTCTGAAGCCGCGCGCGTATAAATCAGCAGCTCAAATCCATGAGTAGGTGAAACAGAGGAAACACTACGAAAATATATTCGTCACGATCTATAGGGATGCAATTCGGTGCGCAGCGCTTGAGGCATACCTGTTGGGTGACCAAAAGGAGAAGCTTTTGAGAAGTTATTGTGTCCCGGCTGACAATATGATATACCGAGTGTTCAGCATAGAGAATAAGTACACTTCTTAACAGAATTTGAAGCTTCGCTACGCAGATACAGCTACACTATTCACGAGCACGCTATCGGGCCAAACTCCACTATCACAATGTAATGAAAGATTGTATGTACAATTGCACAGTGATGATATACATAAATCCAGCTAAGTACACACCCAAATGAAACCATAATATTTTTTAACTCATATAATTATACGTGGTAGTCTATAGGCATACTCTCGCACTGCATACAACAACTTTAAATGCATCCGGATACTGTATTCGCACAGCTAGCGGTGAAATCACTACTAGAGCGGTTGATGCCCCCACAGGCCCAGGAATCTGGACTAATGGCGGGTCGCGCACAATATTATCAAATTCACAGAAGACAGAGAGAGGGTTCTGAATACTGTACAATATATGTTGACCTCGAGCTCACTCGCAGACGAAGGCGGTTGAAGCTACCACCACAAATGTATTTTCGGAGGCGAGCTGATCTAACCAGCGCTATGAGCTTGTGGATATTTTGTATCTGCAGTGTACTATCACCAACGACACTTGCAAACCGCATACCAAGTTCGGGATTTTGGACCAATGGCGGGTCTGAGCCAGCTAGCGCGACGGGAATGTGAACATTAAGAATTTGCAACGTGCTAGCAAGAACAGCATCGTTTGCGAATAGCTCAGGTCGCGCGCCTTGTCCCCGGCACAGATTGGACAAACAGAAGTAGGCCGCCTCTCCTATGGACGTAGCCGTAGGCGAGACAGTTGTACTGGCCAGGGTGTGATTGGTGACCATGCGTATCAGAGGGTGGTGTGCGCCCTGCAAATTATAATATTTTGATTATGAGCGTTGGATAAGCGGTAGGTGACTCACATGGCTTGCTCTGACATCGATTGACACTGCGCTACTCAGCTACTCAAGCGCATGTCCGGAATATCATATGCAGCCGGCGACCCATGGGACACCCACTGTTCTTATGAGTACGACTGTAAGCGCGACAGCTATACTGGCCGGGGTGTTATGTGTAACCATGCGTATCGGAGCGTGGCGTGTGCCCTGAAATTCATTCCATAACAAATATGGGTAAATGAATTTAAGAGCGATGGGTATGTGGTAAGTGATATGTATGGCTTGCTATACATTAGTTGGCATTGCGCCACTGAAATGCATATTGTGGATATAAAATGCAATCGGAGCCCCATAAAACGTCGTCTTTTTCTGTGGTTGTAGCTGTGAGCGTAACAGTTCTCCTGGCCAGGGGGTGATCGGTGACCATCGTATCAGTGGGCGGTGTGCGCTCTTTATCGCATTATATACAAATTCGTATGTGGTAGCCGGTACAAATAAGATGTATCAGTTGACCCTATCGACAGCGAGCTACACCACCATAGCCGAAGCCGAATTCGTAACACTAGTCTGATTGGGCGACCATATCTACTGGGGTAGAATGAGTAATGCTCGCCGACTGATGCGGATTGGGCGAACTGGGTTGGCTTATTTGCTCGCAATAGAGATAGATTTGCGTATCCTCGGTCTCGAGAAGACTAAGCACTCGTGATGGTAGCAAGTGATATCCACGATTGAAAACTGCGACGTTCACACGACTGCCGTGACATTATGCGTGGCGATGCTCACGAACAAATGAACAAAACCTCTTGCTACTTTAGAAGTGGAACAGTATTAGGGCCAATTTCACAGCCCATCTGGGTCTACATGTGTGACAATTCCAAAGGACTCTGCTCACCAACTTCTCATTGGGTTCTTCCCATTCAGTTTTACCATCACTATGCAACCCCTCAAGTTGTTCAAGGTGGCTACTTCGAAATGCGATCAATCGTAAATATAATCAACTTGCACAGCTGTTGCGACGGACATGTTGGAGATACAGAATGAATTCATAGAACATACCTGAGCAATTATGGTATCGCGTGCTTCCGCACTGTCACCCGCTATGTTACCAAGAGCCCACGCAGACAAATCCTGATGTTTTTCACTTGCATTCTCCAGGAATGGAATCAGTGCTGGGGTGTTCTGCAGCACTGCCTTTGTGTGCAGTGACTTAGACGCAGAGATGTTGACATGACACCAGATGGCTGAAAAGGTTAAGCAGAAGGTGCACTGTTATTAATTTGCCGAAACGATGATATGTCTATTCCAATTGCAATTGCAAAAAGCTACCAAGTATGCTTTGGATAGTGCAGTTTGTATACTGAGAACGTTTATTCAAATGCTTGCCCGTAACCGTAAATAAAAGGGTACAAACATTTTTGAGAAGAACGTACCAGACAATTCTAGTACAAAAAAAGGTATAGTTGTAAATATAAAAATTTGAGCATACCGCGCATACCTTGGCAATGGAGCATACGTATATATATTTTTTTGTGCGCATAGCTTTATACAATCACCGAAAGAATTTCCGCAATATTAAGTATACATATTCCAATATGCTTATGATTTATAGTAAATATATACATATATATATATGTATGTATACATATACATATACATACATACATCTATACATATATACATATATATATATATATATATATACATATATACATATATATATATATATATATATATATATATATATATATATATATATATATATATATATATATATATATATATATATATATATATATATATATATATATA